TTCTCCTCAACTTTAATTGTATTTTTGCTCATTGTTCCTCCTCTTGGATTGTTGACTTTGCTGTGCAGAATGATGTGTGTGTGCAATTTCTCTGTGCTTTGAAAGACAGCATGTATGAAATCATTTTGTAACATCTTAAATGGTTTGCGGTCAGATGTGCAACTTCCACCAGTGGGATGTGAACCTTGAAATCTCCAGTGCAAACTATATTAAAGATATTTGCACATTCATAGATTCAGTAATTTTCAGTGCATGTAATTGTAAGAATTTTTAACCAGGTTATTTAAAGATTTTTGTGGAAAAATACAAGACTCTCTTTCTAACTATTTTCTTAAAAACATTGTTTTTCTGAAGGATTTGCAAATTTCAAGAGTCGCCTCACAGCAATCTTGTATATTTTTTGATTTTATCCCTCTTAACAATGACATTAATACCATTCAACATGTCTTTTTCTCTCCCTTTTTTCTCCTTTTCTACATAAATAAAAAATCTGGCAGGCTAATTATATAGGCGGCTGAACATCCCTCACTGTAGCATGTGTCTTTTTCTGAGTGACAGTTGCAAATATTTCTATATTATGACACACAATAATGCTCTGTTAGAAAAAATAAGTGACATTAAACATGTTTCCTGTTCCTCGCGAGGCAGCAGGAAACATGACACCTTGTCATGAAAGGTAATTATAGGTGAATATGATTGTGTGCAGCTGTGAAATGCTGCATTTAGTCTGGTTTTCTAAAAAAAATAAAAAATAAAATAAATTCTGGCAAAATTGAGGGACAGATTTCAGCAAAAACAAGCAAGAACACAAACACTGTCAGTGCAGGTGCTCTAAATGCCAGAGAGGAGCTTTATTGTGTCAAAAATATTGTTTAGTTGTAGCATCCCCATCGCATCTGTATAGTTTTGGGCGACTGTGCATCGTTCCTCAAACTTTTGTGAAAACCGACAAAGACAACCCAGACAGGGGTCGATTCCATTGTACTTGGCAGATTTCACTTTTCATGGATGGAAAACCTTGACTTGTGAAGCGGGGAGCAAGCACTTCTAATTTTGTGCGTGTAGCCAGTTTGTGTTGTGCATTCACAGTGAGACGAGAGTGGGAGTGCGGGGAATAAAGGGAAGCTCCAAAGGTGAGCACTATATTGCCTCCAATCCAGGAGCTGACTGACAGCATGAATAAATATTCTTGTCCATCCTAGTTTTCAAGGCTTCCGGTTGATTCTTTCACGTGGAGTTTTTCTCACAGCCACTTTTTCTATTTTATTGCCTTGTCAAGTTCAAGACTTACTCGATTTGAAATCCTATTTGAAAATGAGGTAGAAATGATCTTTTACGGAGCACTCTCTTGCCCAAATTGGAAAGGAAAGCAAAGAAATATAACTGATTTTTTGTGGCTATGTATTGATTGTGGCAATATCCTCAAACTCAAGCAACAATAACAGAATGTCCTCTGTTCCCACTCCCTCCCTCCCTCCCTCCTGACTGTGCAGTAACAGGTTGTGTTTAGCTTCTCTGCTCCCTACTTCCCTCGTCTGGCACGACTGTTCTTTGAGTCCAGAGTCTAAAGTTCAGCCAGAGACAACAGGAGGGGAGCAACGCATCGCTCACTCGCAGCATTTCACAACACACATCTTTTTTTTTTTTTTTTCCAGGCTTCCTTTGCACAGTGAGAATGGCCGCCCCCTCAGTGTAGACATTTTGTAGTGTGTGACTAAACGGTGAATGGTGTTACAATAATTTGATGAGATTGGGTCAGATGATGCAAGGCGGAAGAGTGTGATGATAATGCTCTTCTTGATGTCTTACAGCTTTTTTTTTTTTTTTGTATTTTTTATTTCTTTTTTAATGCCGATCCACAAAATGATCCCCCGGACGCCCCCACGCCGTCTTTGAACTGCTCCCACCCCGGGGTGACACATTAGCAACCTGTCTGGAACTGGCGTTGCCGTGGGAGAAGAGAGGCTTGTGTCTCAGGTGTTTAATAAACCCCTGCCGGTGCACCAGGATGAATCCGAGCGCCCTGACTCGAGCACCCAACGCCCTTCAGATATCTCTCCTTCACACGCCTGATCACATCCCTACAGTGACCCCCCTCCCCCCATGTCCCTCAGACCATCTCCCTTTATCCTCCCTCATTTTTTTTCTTCCTGATCTCTGTGGCTTCCTCCCCCATTTTTTTTTTTTCTTCCCGTCCACACTCCTCCTTCTTCCACCTCCTTCGAAGTGCCTGTTTTGCGCTGCCTACCCTTCCTTCAACACATGCCAGGACTCCTGGGGCACCAGTTACACAGCGAGGATTTCATTTGAAAGAGCTCCTCAGGATGTCATTACAGGGATCATCAGCAGGCCTTACGGCTGATGTTACATTAGTGTTCCATCACACACGCAGAGCCTTCAAAGCAGCTAATAACCAGTCGGCCCTCTCATCACACAAATCAGAATTCTTTCTCTGAGATTGGTAATTTCTCATTAATCTCTAATTGACCATTCCCGTACAGTCAAGACCGTAGTTTTTTTTATGCAGTTGTGCAACATCAATAAAAGCTTGATAGATAATGAGATAGCACTGGATCAAATTATGCTGCGAGTAGAGGAAGTTTGCTCGTGTTTTACAACTAAAACGTGCTGCACTGGGTTGGAGTTTTAATTGCGTGTTGTTTTGTGTTTTTGGCAAAATCTTTTAATCTGGTCTTGTTCTGGAAGACTTTTAATGCGGAGAAGAAAAAAAAAGCCACGTTCAAATTCAGTTATATTTGTTTCTGTCCACCTAAAGAGCTGTTTTTATCAAGTAATTGTTTGGTAGGTGGCTATATTTATGGCTATGAGTCATGAAACAATACAGAAACAAAATCCTATCTTTTTAGTGGATTGCAGATGAGAAAACTTGAGTAAGCAAGCAGTTTCACAAAAATTGAACTCTTACTTAAAATAAAATCAATGTAGTTTTACAATGCATTCAAACAAATGATCTTTAGACAATAACATCCAAAATCACTGCAAGGCACCGAATTCAAGTGCTTGAAAAACATGTTAAAATGAGCATTTACCACCCATACAGCTGGACATATCCAGAATTTGCAATTTTTTACCATTACAGTTTACATCACATCCTTCCTCTCCATCCATCCATCCATTTATTCAGCAGCTCCTCTTCCCGCTGGACACCTCGAGCCACCTCCTACCTAGGCAGCTACTAAATTCACCCGTATACAATCATCCAGCCATTCCTCTGTGCAGCCTATTCAACCTTATTAATCCAGCCTTTCTTTCTCTCCATCCGCTTCGTTCCATCCTCTCGTCTCCACCCAGCCATTTTATCCTCCATTGATTGCAAACAGAAGACAGAGAGTATCTGAAGTGAAACAGAATGAATATTAAGTGGGGAAGCATTTGGATGAGGCTCACTGTACTACTGTAAATAGTATTTTTTCTTTTTTTTAACCCCCCCCCTTCTGCCTCCCTCTCGTTCTCTCCATCATCTCTGGCTCTCTCAATCAGCTCCAATATAAAGCTGGCCCCATGTAAAGTGGTACGAGCGCCATCAGCCATGCAGATGAGTCCTGCTTCCTTTACCTTAATTAGAGCTCCCAGGGGAGCGAACAGCATCAGCATCAGCCTCTCATACCTCAGAGACACTTTGTATTAAGCACAGTAGCAGCAGGAGGGAAGCTAACGTGGGTACAGTGGTGAAATACAGATGACAATATAAAAATGTGGGTAAATGTTTCTGCAGGTTTTTGAACAGCAGGCAGGAATGTGGCATTTTATTGAGAGCTGAAGCTATATTTGTAAAGAGATGAAGCAAATAGCATTGCAATAGCTGTACATACAAACAGTGCATGTAAACATCTGGTGAGAATTTATGAATCCAGCAAGCTGAAGTGGAGAAACTAGTTCATTAACTGATAAACAGAACAATGATCTGCAGCAACCTGGACAATCAATTGTTTCTTTGGGTCATTTTCTTGAGCAGAAATGCCAACGATTCACCTTCTCAGAAATTAATATATTCTGTTTTACTTTAAAGACTTATCAATTAGACAAAACTAGAAATATAGATGCATAAGCTTGAATAAATTATTCATCCAAAGTTCTGAGAATATTTGAAAAATGCACTATATCAGTGAATTGGGCTAAATAAATAAATAAATAAATCAAAATAAATGCATCAATTAATGCAGTTCTAAAAAAATAACAAGCTGGTTTCTTTCATAATATATGTCCATATATTGATAAGTATGATTTCTTATATTTCAAGTAAAGGTGTGTTTATATCTGTGATTCTTCTCAATACAATGTGCAAATAAATTATTAGACTATTAGCCTCATAAATAAAAGATACATATTTTTAAATTGAATCATTTTTCATCTACTAAACTAAATAAAAGCAATATTTTTAAAGATATTTTAACAGTCATAGTTGATCTGTCAATTATCTCTTATTGACTAATTATCTGATGCAAATCAGAAAACTGTGAAACTGCTCATGTGAATTCAATAAACTGCTTTCTTCATTCGACCAGAAATCCAAATATATCCAGGTCACTGCAGGGAAAGAAAAGAATCCTGTTATTTGTAATGCTGGAACCATCACAGAAGCATTTTTCTGGCATTAAAATGACTTAAAACGTTCATTATTTATGAGAATGGCTGCCAGGTGATTTTAATATCCTCTAATCAGTTCATCAAATAGTCTTTTCAGCGTTAATAATTGTATATGATAGTTTTTTTTTAATTAAAATATATTTAATAATAATCTATATAAGTTTATTTTACTACACGTGCAACAGCAATAAAATATGTATATATCTTTTTTTTTTTTTTCAAGAAATGAAATGGATCGTAAATCAAACTAAGTTGAAATGAGCCACAGCTTCCTCCGGTTCTCCGTCCCCTTTAAACGGGGAGGTGCTCCGGTGCTCACCCCCAACCCTGGGGCTCTCCGCGGCGCTCCGGGAGGCGGGGAACGGGAGAGAAGAGAGTCCGGGCTGGTTGAGAACGGACGCGTCGGAAACCTCCCCGGAGGGGCCCCATGTAATTCGATGCACGCTGTTAAAGCTTAGAGTATATTGTCTTCCCTTTTGCTTATGAAGCCTCCACCCACCGGCCCACCCTACATTTAGCGGATCATGTGACTCGGGGTAAGTCATTTGCAAGTACAACAGTTCTCTGTGCGCTCCCATTCATTTCCTGAGAACTGCCTGAGCCGAGCAGCTGAGAGGCAGAAGGGGAGGGAGCCGCTCACTCACTCACTCACTCACTCACACACACTCACACTCACATTATCACACACACTCACACACACATATACACATACAGGCAGAGTGAGAGGAGAGAAGAGGAGAGGAGAGGGAGAGGAGGAGACGAGACAGAGAGGACTGTAGAAAAGGAAAACAGTCTCCTAGTCTCCACGGCTCTGCAGCTTCTGACAAGGTCTGTGCGTTTTTCTTGTCCTGTTCCTCTTGCTGGCTGCTGCTGGCTGCTGCTGCTGCTGTGTGCTTCATTTGTCACGTTGCTGGGGGTTTGTGCTTGTGTTCAGTGCGTTTTCGTTCAGCTGTCATTGCTCTGTCAAAGCAAGATGACAACTCAGATCACCTATGGCATTGTGTTTGGTGTCTGTCAGTGGAGAGGAGGGGAGGTGGAGGTGGTGGTGGTGGTGGTGCGGGGAAACAAGAGACCCTGCATGGTGCCGACTGGACATGTAACACTCTATTCTCAATGTAGATTCATAAGCTGTCAAAAACAAACAAAAAAAAAGTGATTATACTCTTGAATGACTGAGCAGCATCTGGACTTTTAGTGTTTTCAAATCTGTCATCTCTCACCAAGTCCAAACTTCAAAACATATCAGCTGAGCGGCAGAGGTGCTGCTGTGGAATCATACTTGACTAAATGTCTTGGTGGAGGATATGAGAGGCACTGCGAAAACTCTCTCTGCACTTCTTAGTGAGGGGGAAGAGAAGAGAAAAAAAAAGGAAAAAAAGTTTGCTGCTTGTCAAGAGTTTCGTGCATGTCTTGAGAGAGTTGTGTGTTTGTGTGTGGGTGTGCGTTTGTGTGTGTGATGGGCTTGTTTTGTAGCCTAATGTAGCAGTGTGGAGACAGAGGCTGTTAGCAACGGGTTAAACATTAGGAGGCTCGGGTAGCGGAGGAAGGACACTGGGGTGTGTGTGTGTGTGCGTGTGTGTGTGTGTGTGTGGGAGTGTTGCAGGGGTGGTGTCTTGGATGTCATCGGCAGCGCTCTCACTTCCAGGGTAATAGTCATTGGTATTGATGGGTGGCTGTCACAGAGGCAGAGAGCCACCAGGCTGGGGGAGAGTGGCCGGGGGCTGGCCCTTGGCTGTTATTTTCAATTACAGGGGACCAGGGCTGAGCTGACAGCAAAGGCATTTGTACATCCAGCGAAGAGGGAGGGGGGGTGAGGAGGAGGAGGAGGCGGGTGAGTGTGTGGAGAGGGTGGGTGGGGGGGAGGGAAGAGAGCGAGAGAAAGGTGGGAGGTGGGGAGTGAGGGGGGTGGGATGAGACTCTCTTGCTCCTGGGTTTGATGTGGAAACTAAGCAGTGACCTCTGTGACTTTACCCTGGCGGTGTGGAGGGGCCCTGCCTCGCCTTTAACTGTGTGTCAGCCAGAGGGTGTTTGGTCGTGTTTAAGTGAGGTCTCATTCACCCATAAATAGTAAATATATACAGTATACGAGGAGGAGGAGGAGGAGGAGGAAGAGGAGGGGGTTTACGCGCAGTGTGTGTGCGGACGAGACCCCCTGCAGCTCGCGGATGTTCAGGGAGGGAGATTAGTGCCCATTTAAAGTCTCGCTCTCACTTAAATCCATTTACAAAAGGGGTCTTCTGCCTGTGCATGAATGATATTATCACACACGTAGAGCCGACTCTCCACGTATTAACAGTGAAGAGGAATTATACCGGATCTCTTGCAATATTTACACTGACCAAAATCAGAGAAGGTGGTAAATAGTGTGACTGTGTTTTCGCTCAAACAATATTCATGACAAGATACAAAATAGTGCAAAAAAAAAAAATACTTGAATGTTAATTGCGGCATCATTGAACCCCTGTGTGAGGTCAAAGTGTCGTAGTCAGCGCTGGATAATGATAATGAATAATCACTGGGATTGAGAGCATCACTGACAGCTCAGCAGTGATACAGAGTACGCTGTTTCCTCATTGAAAACGCATTAATAGAGGTAAAAAGGTAGAGGAACAATATTGTTTTTGTGTAAATTATCCCGGGGGCTGCTGCTGTTAACTTTATTAACAGTACTTGTGTAGTTTTTTTTTGGTGGCTTCGGTGCAACAGCTTGAACCAGTAACGAGCTACGTAACTGAAAATAGAATCACAAGTGTGAGAGATGCTTTTGAATGATGATGCAATGTTGACTTAGAAAAAAAAAAAGTTAAACTACCTACTCAATAGCTCCAAATCTGTGAACTGTATGGAGCAAATCCATTTAAATCAGTACAATTATTCTCAGTTTCCCCCTTAAACTATCTTGTCACAATGCTTTCATAGTATGTAGACATTTTCAAATGTCAAGATTAGCCTCTTTAGCTAAAAAAAAGAGACTTTATCGCTTCGGTAATTTTAATATCGAATGAATGTTCTTGTTCACTGATGTCAACAAGTCCACCACTTAAAATGACAATACACTGCAACACATATCTGCACCAACTAATCTGACAACAATATCTCAGGGGCACTTTTGTTTGTCAGTACGCAACTGCTGTGATGCATTCTTGGTTAGGTTTTGGTACAGAAATGATTCGGTTAGATTTAGTGAAAGGTCATGCCTTGTGTCAATTCAGTGTACAATAATAACTACAAGGTTAAAGTTTCAGAACAACCACAGTCACAGTTAAAAGAAATCCGTGTTGATTTTCAGTAGGAAATGAAAACAAAATGCTTGTCTGCTGTGATAAAATCCAGCATTTTGTTGACCCATCCATCCACCCCAGCTGTCTCCCTTCACAGACCTGAGCTGCAAGGATTAATCGCTTAATCAATAAGTTCTCCAACATTGAATTCATTCCTATTTTGATTGTTGATTATTTGGCTTTAGATTTTTTTAAAGATGAAAATTGTCTAATTCCAGCTTCTTAAATTTGAATATTTTTTGTTTCTAAAAATAATAATAATAATAATAATAATCGTTAGTTGCAGCCTGACTACAGACTTTTTCACTCTATAATAACACTTCCTCCTCATTTGCCCTTGAAGGACCACAGGCTGAATTCTTATGAACAGTAGAAGGCTTTGTCACTTTTAAATGAACATTTGTTATTTTGGGGTATTTGCTGATGTGACTTATGCTGTTATTTTGCTGAACAATATGACACCTCTGGCTGTTTCCCCCACACACACACACAACCGCATTATGCTGCTGCCACTCTGATTCTTCCGTGGCTCAACCCCCACCTCAAGACACGGTCCAAGGGCTTATGATAGAGATCAGTACAGGTGGGGGAGACTCAATTAAAAAGCCAATCACCAACGGATAGACTCTATCTGTCCATCAACACAGCTCTGCCCAGGACACTTAATTGCTCTGCAGGATTCCCCCACTAAAGGCATCTTCTGTCAGCCACAGATCACAACGCACAAATTGGGGCCCGTGTTGACAGATTGAATCTTTCAGGAAGAAGTGCCGTGCTCTGGTTTGTTCATGCTAACAGCGTGTAGGCTCACATTCTCATTCAGGGAGATGAAATTCCCTGCATTACCCCTAATCAGCTGGGTTAACTGCTGCTGTATTGACTGACTGCTCATTGATCCAAGTGGGTGCTATGGAGTGTATCATCATTGATTGCAGATAGACTGCAGTGCACTGTATGGCTGGATTCATATGGGTCCCTAACTGTAAGCCAAGGCCAAAAAAAGGGGAGAAGGGAAAATTAGAGAGATGCTCACAATTACTCTGTGGGCTTGTTTTTATAGTCTTTTCTCTCGAGCTGTCAAACCAGGACATTCAACCACAGCAGACTGACCACGAAAGACACATTCTTACAATAGAGTAGCATGTCAAGATCATGTGCGAAACAGTCGGCAGTTGAAAAGCGGACTTTGTATATTGAAAGATTGCCACAAAAGCGGCTTATTTTGCTGTTGTTTCAGTCTGAATAGCAGTTGTGTTAAACTTGTTGTGGGTGAAAAAACAAAAACAAGGACATATTCATAATAATAGTGTTTGTAGGTGATGCTTGCGAGCTGAATTCCCTGTGTGCTGTTATTTCACCATACCAGAAGATGACAAAATGTTCTTTCTCTCCCCCCCTTTGCGTTTTCTCTTGTGGATTCAACCTTTGACCTGAGTGTCCAAGCCCACGTTTGTTTACCAAAATTGAGTTAAGGGTGTACATAGAGTGCTGGAGCATGTGTGTTTAGTGATGGAGTGGAAGAGAGAGAGAGAGAGGGGGGCCGAGAGAGCATGGAAAGTATTGTGCAACAGCCAGTGACTCTGAGGTTGATAGTGTAAATAGTGAAGAAAAAAAAAAACACAGAAAGACGTACAATGAGTGATTACAGCTTGTAAAACATCAGCGTGAGTATTTAGAATTTTTGCCGCATTGCTCTGCTAAATAAGAATATCATTAAAGCTGTAGAGCAACCAGGCTTTTTTCTTTTTGGATAGCAAGAAACACTCAACAAAAAAAAACTTACTGTCTGACCAGCGAATTGATCCAAGTTTTTTTTTTTTTTTTGAGTAATGACACCATCCCTAGAGTAGCACACTCAGTGCTTACTGGAAGTGACTCATTTAGCAGAGCTTGCCCCCAGACTCCGCTTTAATGTTGCTCAACGTGTTTCCATGGCCAGGGTGGAAAGGTATGTCAAGGGATGGCCTGTCTATCTGCGATGACGTTTCCTCTTTCAACCTAGTGTGTAATTTTTACTTTAGCCAAATATGGTTGGTTAACAGAAGGAAGGAAGCCAAGAAAAGAGGATGGAACAGCATTCAAAGTCAGCATTTTCACAGTGTTTTGGACCATTTCTGTGCAGTTTTTTTTTTTTTTCTACAGAAAGAGTTTCCCTTTACAGAATCTTTGGGGAGCTGCTTCTCTTTAGCCTCGCTGCAGATGGTTTCAGCAGACCTGCGTAAAGGATGCTGCACGGATCACTGTGAACTTTGTTT